GGATATTATCGCTTACATGCTGGGGAAGAATTCCAGTACGGAAACGTGAGTCGGAGAATCAATTCCTACTGGTACAATTCCTGGTACGAGTGTGGAGTTACCCTTCCTTGATTCGAAATCAATATTGAGTTGAACTATGCGATATTCGTGTAATGCTATCTATACTTACGTAACATTAAGAGGATGATTGTATCAAAGCGTACTTCTTCAGATACTTCCTTTCAAACATTTTGGAACAGAATGCACATACCCAACCCGCGAGGCAATCAAGTGAAGAATCGCATAACTCTCTCCTTAAAGACAGATGACACAAACTTTTATCAAAAATCTTGAAAATAAAAACTGAAGTCATGTTGACTAAGTTTAATCGCATCGATTTTAAGTTTTCTTTTAAAGTTTCACAATAATGGGAATTAAAGTGACAAAAAGTTATAAAGACTAATAAGGATGGTGGCAGAAAGGTATATTTTTGAACATCGTAGAAAGTTTATAATTTCTTAATATTTTAGAAATTTATTATTTTCATCATTTAAAAGCAAAATAGGTCCAAAAATATATACCAATGCATTCAGCAATTTGGTTTTGTTTGCATCATCTGTCCTTAAGTTGATCTTAAATGGAGCAATTAAAAAAAATCTACACACCCCAAATGTCCAAAAACAGCACCAACAAATTCAATTTCTGTTTAGTGTGTAAGTGGCCTAATTTGGAGGGAGTTTCTGGAATTATTTTGCCCTGTCGATTTTTTGTTTGGAACCTTGACCGAATTACTGATGTGCAAACTTGCAAGACATTTAGCGTGTATATTGATTCTTATGGGAAAATGTTCTAAATGTTTCTATATGTAATTGTTGTGTATTTCTGTATTAAAATCGGTACAGTACTGTAAAATCACATAGTTTCATCAGTGGTTATAGAAAAAAACTGGTTCGTGGGGATTTGAATTTGTGGTTGAAGAGGCATGAAAGATAAAAAAAAAGTCTTAATTATAGATTGTTTAAAAAATCATTAACTTTTGAGAAATACTTGTTGAATTTGTCTTCTAAACTTTCTATGAAATGTTGTGTTTTTAAAACTGGAAATACTAAGCTTCCAGTTGAGACAGGAAGATGGTATAATATTGCAAGAGAAAACAGAATTTGTCACTTGTGTCCATATAAGGAAATAGGAGATGAAATTCAATATTTATTTAAATGCACTGACCCATACATTAAGAATTCTAGACTTAAATGTTTGCCCAACTACTATTATACAAATCCTAATGTTTTAAGTTCGAACAATTATTTAATTTAAATAGCAAAGATCAACTGATGAAACTGTGTAAATTTATTGGGATTATAATTGAGAGAGTTGCTCTCTTGGTTTATGACAATGTCGTTTTTCACTGTTTTTCCTTGACTGAAAATGTATTAGATTGTGTTTTCTTATTCCAAAATGAAAAAAGTTCATTACTTTTTCCCCTTTATTACAGAAATAAAAATTCAAAAGATTCTTGAATGAAGATATCCCAGAAGCATTTCTAAAACAATATGACATGTTATTTCACTGTGTAACTGTTGATGGAAGAAAACTTTCCATATAATCTATACTTCTAATGTGAGGAATTTTGAATTGTGCATCATTCTTTCTGAGGTTATAGGAATGATTATTGGGTTGAATGGCCATTTAAATATAAATTTATAAAATAATAATATCAACTTATGAACCTTTTTCCTTATTTTTTAAAGATACCCCCCCCCCCCCGCAATTCCTCATAAAATTTTGATTGAAAGGAGTTACTTCTTAATCAGAACAACATCAGAATATTCCAAAAAGGTTTAATAAATGCATTTAATATAATTATTTGAAATTGGATTAGGATACATTTGGGCCGACCAAGATGGAATTAGTTGTACATTGTTATAGCCATTTTTTGATTATATAAAACGAAGAATTGTTAAAACTTTTGTACAGAATCTCCTTGCAGATATCAATAGTTCGATCATCTAGATGTATGCTATTTAAGAACATTATTGACCACTTTGCACTGCAATATTATTTGGTAAAACATATTCCTTAATTTATAAAAAGTATATTAGTAAGATAAGACTGTCACAAGCTTATCTTTTAAAAAGATTGGTGAGCTAGCGCCGTAGCATAATAAAATACAGAAGAAGATATCTGAACCATTTGTTAAATTTGCTGAATCGATTAATTATTAAGAGGGCTGGGTGGTCGTGACCATTTTTAGACTATATTGATCTCCTTTAGAAGAAGAGCTCCATATAAAGATATACAAAAATGATCAAATTTTAAAACTAAAATGTATGAATTTTTTCTTTTCCAAATGATAGTTGACAGCTTAAGATATCATATCTAAAAAAATAAGTTATATCTGATGGTTAATTTGTTGACCCCCCAGCCTACTTAAGGAGTTTAGGGGTGGGTGGGCACAATTCAAAATGGTGAATCTAAGAATGTGCTTCACGTCGGCAATGGCATAACTCCTAACTGTGCTTTAAGCATTCTGTATTTTACTGTAATTTCAATTTCGAGGTGAAAAATAAAAGGTCAGTAGAACCAATGAGCACCTTCTGCCCTTTCCGGCAAGCTCGGAAAACATATCCGAGGTTGCCGGAAAGATCCATGAAGGTAGATTAGAAAAGCTATGTATTCATTACAACTTTAGAAATAACAGTCTTGGTTTTATAAGACCCGAGTTACTGTTACTTTTTGTTCATTTACGTGCAGGTTGGACAACAAAACACGAAACTTCAGATCATATGTATTTTCAGATGATAAACACTAAATTGACATGTCTTTCCGACATACTCTGAAAAAGATTTTTGTTGTTGTTGTTTTTTTCCGAGCTTGCCGGAATTATCCACTAAGGTGGTAAAACTGTAAGGAAAGCTAGATGTCTAGAATCTTGGCATTATATGGCCAAATTTTTTCTTGTACTTTTATGTGTAGGTTAGACAATAAATTAAAAAAAAATTCAGAATCCGGATCTAGACTGGTATTGACTGTCTCTAACATACGAAATGTATATCGCGCATATCAGACAGGAAAGGCCAGTGTAAATTCGGATCATTTCTATTTTTGTATGACAAAACGAAATTGTTATCGCACAGTCTATCTACAGTAGTTTTCCCAGAATCCCCGACCGTGAAGTCGAGCATGCGTATTTCAGAAATATAGACTAACGTAGTTGCTAGCGCTCGAGAGCGCTAGCAATTATATATTTTAGATATTGAAATAGGACGCCATAAAAATATCAAAACGAATAAATATATGAACTGTAATCATTGACGTTGAAAAGATATAAATTAAGACGAATTGCTAAGGCCATCTTTAAAAATATGTTGTTGCCCTCTCCCGACCGACTGCCTAAAAATGACCCGACTCAATTTTTTTTTAACCTCCGGGAAACGATATTTTTTTCTTTTTATTCCTGGATTTTCTCATTCTCTCAATATGTATGTTAAGGATACACCAAAGGTTTTAACATAATAAAAGTATATATCATTTGAAAGCTTGTTAAATTTACTGTATTTCATTATCCTAATTAAAAAAATAATTAATTTAAATATGAGGTGCATAAATATTTTATAAATCAACTTTTTTGTATTTAACCCCTCAAAGTGGTCATATTGCCTCAAGGTGGAAGGAACTTACAAACTGTATCTCAGATTTTTGATAAATCTTCTAATTCAAAAGTTACAGCCATTTGCACTTCAATGTTACCAGTTTATTAGCCTAATTAAACATTTCCCTCAGTAATTCCAAAACTAAGCTAGATATAAAAAATCTGAGATACGGTTTTGTGAAAACACATTTGAGAAGCAACCCATCCAATTTTCAGAGAAATTGGTCAATAAATAAGGGAGCTGAATCCTTTGAAATAATACCACAAACTGTCTGATCTTACTTTACAGTAGAGGGCAAAAACCCATTACACAACAAAATCTGCCAAAGCTAGGAATATATGACACCTTGGAGATTCAGCTCTGGATACCTGTCACTTAGCCATATTTCCTATGCATATTCACGAGAATGGGAGGTTCTTTTCTGTATTTAGATGTTTTTGATTAAGTAAAATAGGTTCAATTCTGAATCAGAAAGATTTCCCGGCAAAATGGCAAGAGCTAAGCTCCACCTCCTACTTTATGGTCATCAGTGATCTGTTAGATCTTCTCTAAATCTAGAGTCCCTGTAGTTTAATTACAGATAACCTCTGTGTGGCTAGTGAAGAATTCCCCAAGTGGTCACAGTGATTTATTGCGTCTTTCATAAGCAGGCAGTCACAGATCAAATCAGAAGCTTCAATAACGGAACATTCACATGTGGTAGTGTTTATGTTTCATTATTGTTCAATAATTAGAAAACCATTTCATAATTACCAAGAATTTTACAAGCATTATAGAGCAGTGATTAACTTCTTTTTCTTAGCCAAAATTCTCAAAATTATTGAAAATCTTGAAAAAAAAAAGAAGCCTTTGGTGTATCCTTAAAATTTTCTAGAAAAAATTCCAACCTACCTACCGAATCAATCTTTTTACCCTGAGTCGGGAGAGGGCAAACAAACATTATATTAAAGATGGCCTATAAATCTTAAATGTGAAGGAAAATTTCATCATTTTCAATATGAAGACCCCCTTTAACCAAAATTATTTAAATGTATTAAGGTGCGGTCATACCAAAATAAATTCTAAAAATTATTCAAAAGTAGTTTTTTTTCTGGTTAATGGTAGTCTCTGGCAACATTTTGTCATCATTTATGTGGATATCTCAATATTTACAATATATTCCATACACACTGGATGATATAATGGAACTATTTAAAGATATTTATTATTTCAATTTGAGTTAAGATGTAGGATAAAACTTTGGTTGAAAAATATAAAGAAATCATTACTGAGTATTTATCAAATACAACTAAGGCTATTTGGCAAGTCCGCGAGAGTTATGTCCCGTGTCACGCACCTGCTCATCTAGCTCACACGGGCGTTTGTATCTAATATAAACAGCCGTGACAGAAAGACGATCTCGATTTTGTTTACACCGGAGGTTATAAGAGATAGGTCGTTGCTAACGTTTAAACGTGGATACTGGGGATGAAACAGTGACTCTCTGTTGTCTTTTATCTTGCTGACGTTTGAGTAAAAGTCAAGAATTATGTATCAGAGAGTAGGACGACCAGATCCTGGCCTGATAGCCACGGCCAACGCTGTCCAAACGGAGATTAAAGACCTCATGCAGAGTGGAGAGTACTACTGCACCAATGAACTGGCCAACGAGCTGACAAGAATCAACAATGCCGTGGATCATCTTAAACTGGACGGAAATATCATGTCCACTTCGGACAGTTTTAAGAGATTTTATGACCCTCGAACAAGCGTTCCCGAGGGTGTCAGTAAGTTTGTTTTTGTTAAAATAAAATCATAAGTATTAAGAAATTCCACACTAATACTAGATAAATATGTCTTTAAACATACTCAAATTAGTTATAATAATTGGAATATAACTTCATTCACAGTATATGAAAAATAGAAGATGTAAAAGTGTTACTTTGAGTGTCCATTATGCCATTATGTCAAAATAACCTTTTGTTTTTACTACATGTATTTGGCAAATTTAAAAATTGCCCTGCTTATATAATTCAGGACCAGCAGACAATCTGGCTAACGCAGCAGGGTATATCAAAGATCTCAAATCACGACTCCACGTCAACTCATTACGAGACAAACAAGAGAACCAGGTGCGGGAGCTTCACCAGTGGGGTGTGGACAACCTCAGGGGGATCCAACAGGTGGGATATATGTACTTTCCTGTCAGTGTGATTTCAGGTGAAAGATGTAATATATGTTTTGTTATAAATAATTGCAGTCTAATAGTAAACCATTATTTTTTGGAAGCAATTAAGTGCTACCAGTTGCTTACAAAAAAGACAAACTTAGATTGTGTCAGACATGAAAATCTGATGTAATCAGGTACTTTCCAAGACATCTGGACTATTTATAACAGCTACATCATGTAAATGAATTATGTCCAAATAAGGTTACATGTACTGTCAATTCTCTCAAAGCAAAATGTATAATAGATGGCTCATAAATGTTATGATAAAAGAAAAATTAACTTGAATTCCAGTGATTCTTGGTCCAATGAAAGGTAATTGTTCCCACTCATGCACAACAGAACACTGATACACATGTTTGACATGCAGCACAGAGAATGTTTTGATGGCTTTATTTCAAGTGATTGTTAACAAAAATGGCTACAATGTCTAGAAAGCATCACTTGATTGAATCATGCACAGATTCCCTTTAGTAAAAGCATCACAAGTCAGCTCAGAATATTGAAGTTACATGTTTTGTATTTTGCTCTGCATTTATAATGTGCTACAATATGGAAATACATATAATGAATCCTTGCTGAAAAAGAATTCAGAGTTATTGTTCTGCAATGTTTAGATTTTTGCTACTGTAAATCACTCTTTAATTTGCGAGAACTTTATTTTCGCACAATTATGAATGTCTGCCTGCTCAGGAAAATTTCATTTTTGCATACATTTGTATTGTTTAGGACTATTTACAATAATAATCAAATCTCACGTGAATTTTGTCTTGCTCAAAACTACCAGATAGCTATCTCACGAAAATAATATGTGGCGAAAAGAAAGTGACCTGCAGTATGATCACAAATACCTGAATCTTTGATAATGTCATGTCTTCAAATTCTTGTATCGGATCATATTATCCGGTAGCCTGACAGGATCAAGCTTAGGGGCTAAGCTAGAGTCAAGAGTAGGGAGCGGTTTGAAGTCAGTAATGTTGCAACTTTGATGCAATTGTGCTTTGTTGTTGTTCTATTGCAGTGATAATAACTTGTAAGTCATCTGTAGTTACACTAAACCAGCAGAATCTTCATGTGCTATATGTAGTTAGACTCCATTTACATAAACAATCTGGCATTTTATCCTGGCTAGGTTCTTTGATTTTGTATGTTTACCAGTGGATAATGCTTTAATGTTTATCAAATTCTAGTATGAAGCATTATTTTTTATTAATTCGTTACTCCAGCAATTTTTAGAGGTTCACCATGAGATACCGCTGACTTGATGCCAGTGAGGCTCTTGAGTGGTAGGACTGTATATCTGACATGGCTCCCAAAACATCTGAGTAGCACCTTGTTGAAATTATAGATTTACATGTAGTTCTATTAAAGTCAGTGTCATGATGGACTAGGTTGGCTATATAAATTCTTGCCAGCTCATTTCTAATTTGGAACAGAGAGCACACAAATGACATTTTCTAGATCTAAATTTTTACTGTGTCTATGATTTACATAGGATATTCTGTGCAAAGTTAATGCTTTGAATGTTGTTGACAAGCAAACATTTTGCTATGAAGCTTAAGTGCATATTAAATATTTTTTTTAGTACCAAGATATACATGTGTAACTTAAAATAAACCAGAAGTCTCTGATGAGACTGTAGCTCTACTGGTCTGTAGGTATAACAGTAAAGTAGCACTTGGATTTGAAACTTTGCAGCATGCAGCAATAAATAGAATTATGTATCTTAATGTAGTCTACTTCCAAGTTATATTGAAATCAAACAAAAACTGTAGGAGGAGTAGCTTTTTAAAAGTATTTCACAGAAATTTCTATTTTTAGTAACCATGGCAACACCGTTCATCGAAATCAAAAACTGATGCAGTGAATTATGTATCTAAATGTAGTCTACTTGTGTGCCAAGTTATATTGAAATCAAACAAAAACTGTAGGAGGAGTAGAGTTTTAAATGAATTTCACAGAAATTTCTATATTTAGTAACCATGGCAACACCATTCATCGAAATCAAAAACTGATGCACTAAATTATGTATCTTAGTGTAGTCTACTTGTGTGCCAAGTTATATTGAAATCAGACCAAAACTGTAGGAGGAGTAGCGTTTTAAATGAATTTCACAGAAATTTCTATTTCTAGTAACCATGGCAACACCGTTCATCGAAATCAAAAACCGATGCACTAAATTATGTAACTTAGTGTAGTCTTCTTCTGTGCCAAGTTATATTAAAATCAGACCAAAACTGTAGGAGGAGTAGTGTTTTAAATGAATTTCACAGAAATTTCTATTTTTAGTAACCATGGCAACACCGTTCATCGAAATCAAAAACCGATGCACTGAATTATGTATCATAGTGTAGTCTTCTTGTGTGCCAAGTTATATTGAAATCAGACCAAAACTGTAGGAGGAGTAGTGTTTTAAATGAATTTCACAGAAATTTCTATTTCTAGTAACCATGGCAACACCATTCATCGAAATCAAAAACCGATGCACTGAATTATGAATCTTAATGTAGTCTACTTGTGTGCCAAGTTATATTAAAATCAGACCAAAACTGTAGGAGGAGTAGCGTTTTAAATGAATTTCACAGAAATTTCTATTTTTAGTAACCATGGCAACACCGTTCATCGAAAAAAACTGATGCACTAAATTATGTATCTTAGTGTAGTCTACTTGTGTGCCAAGTTATACTAAAATCAGACCAAAACTGTAGGAGGAGTAGCATTTTGAAAAATTGTTTACAGACAGACAGACAGACAGACGGACGGACGACGGACACCTTACTATCGCATAAGCTCTTCTGGTCTCTTACCAGTAGAGCTAAAAAATTAGATTTTTTAGCAAAGCCTCTTGCAGGATTTGGAATGAAACAATCTTACAATTGCTCTAATCCCCAGAAGTCCTATTCACTATTATTTATAGCCGTGTATGCAGGTAAAAATGTTAAGGACTGGAGTCATAACAAACCCTTATAAGCTTATAACCTTGCAAGCCATTTAGATTACCTTTATCACCTCTCAACTGCAGAAGACCAAAGGGAGGCTGGATGTCTTAGCCAATATCTGTAGAGCTTTCAATGCATTAAGGTATTGTCGACTTTCCAGTGAAACTGTGCCTCCAGAAAAATCCTCTTCTAGACATCAGTGAGTCAATGGAAGATAACTTTTAAGCAGTGCATTCTTTTATTCAATTCAGAAGAGGAGAGATGCATGCACATAGTAGCTAGTGTATAGAGTCTATTTTATTTATATTATAAACCACAGAAATGTACATATTATAAGTGTTTTAATTCGGTCATTATAAATATGTTTAGTACATACATGTAGATAATTTTGGATAACCCACTCCAACTGTGTACTATTTGAAATCTTTTTTAAAGAACTACGCACGCTAACTTTCGATTCCCGCGTACATTTTACAACCATTTAATTCAATACTTATGGCAATTTGACCGTAAAATCCTTGTTGAATGCAAAGAACAGTTTAATGGTAATTGACTGATAATTATAATGCCAGTGTTAAATAGTTAATTATTCCTAATTCCAGCTCTTAAAATAAGGGGGGTAGACGATATTTTCCATTGAAATCGGGCTTTAAAGCATCAACACATTTTTAAATATTCTTGGATAGGAATAAATGTTCCTAAAATCTTTGCTTATGTTTTACGCATGTAAAATTAAAGATATATTATTAAAAAATACAATATTTTAGTTGTAAAAACCTTTGAAATTGGTGAAAAAAATAAGCATTTTTGTAGTATTTTGTCTGTAAACATATGTCCCCCCCCCCCCCCCCCCCCCGTGAAACACAAAAAGATTTGGTATGAATTTGTAAAATGACAGTCCATATGACAAGTAAAAAGGAATTTTTGTTTCGGGGGGGGGGGGGGGGGGGGGAGATGTTTTAAAAATATTTTCCATTTTCCGTTGATTTCTGTAGTGAAAAACACAAGTTTTACCCAAATTATGGAGTTATCTCTCTTTGTTTTCCCCAAGAAGTAATGTTTTATGAAAATTCATATAAATATTTATTTGAATATGAAAAATCATCCAAATATGTTAACTTTTGAAAATCGACTTGGAGGTAGGCGGGAGAACAATGCTATCGTTCGCAGTTCTTGAACATCTTTGATTTATACATGATTTTATTCACATGATTTGAACATCTTTTTTGTATAATCTATTCACCAGCTGCATTATTTGGAATGAAATTTATTGCTGTTTTTTATAGCTAGTGTCAATAGCAACAGAAATGTTTAATAAGGTTTTAAATCATTCATGGCTTCTTGTGGCCTGCAAAAGTGTGAAGTGACTTGTTTGATAAACACTCGGAAATTGATTTGTAAGAGGGGCATCAACATAAGTCTTCAATCAGTTTTACACGTATACCACATATACATGTATTTCTTTATACAATGTTTATAGTTTCTTTGGAGCAATTTTGATAGATTTTATTGACTGTTAACTGTAAGAATTATGCCCCTTTATACTTTGTAGAAACTACCAATTCTACAAAGAGTTATATTATGACTCAAAATTATCTGCTGATTTCTTGTCAAATTGGAATACTACTACATAATTACAATAACACCACTTTTTAAGAATTGAATTTGATAATGAGAGGCTGTGTTAATCCCATCAGCAAGGGATCATAGTTGAGTTTTTGAAATAGTATTGAAATACACAAAGAGGCACTGATTTTCTTTGAAAAATATTCAGAGTTTATGTTCTTTGACAGGCCTTGGACACTTCGACTTACAATGCTGCAGACCGTATCCGACAGTTTGGAGATTTTGTGGGAGTGACAGACAGATTTACTGGTTACCGTAACAACCTGACCCGCGGGTCAAGAGAACCAGTCAGGATGGAACCAAAGTGGGTTGACAAGACCCAGCGCACCGAGTACATTAATACCCTCAACTCCCGCAGGCCTTGGACAGGTTTGTAGTCTATGAACTTTGATACACTAACCTTGGGAACAATTTTACAATGTTAATGCTTAATGGTTTAATAAAACACCCTGACATTATCCAAGTAGACACAGAATTGTTAGTTTTCACAGCCTTTTAATGAACCTCATCTTGTTTATGGAATGCGCTAAAGTTTTTTTTTTTAAATAAAATTTTTTATTTTTTTTTAAGTCATTAATTTATTTTTTTTATTTATTTATTTATATATTTGTTTATTTAGTGTTTATTTATTTAATTAATTAATTATTTTACTTTTAATTAAAAAAATTCTATTTAGAAAGTTGAGGGGGTAAAAATTCAAAATGATGACCATTGATAAGGTGCAGTGTTTAAAGTTGTAAATTAATTTTTTTTTCCCTATAAGATCAAATGAGGTCTATCTTTTACATGTAATTAATGAACAGATCTGGCTAAAAGTTTGCATCTTCTTCATATCTTTTCAAAATGCATATTGAATTTAAGATTTTAAGAGAAAGCTGGAAAAAAATGGAATCATGAATTATACAAGTAGATGTTGTTCATATATATGTATGTTCAGGTTGAAATTTTCCTCCATTTCAAAATTAACTTTAGAATAAAAAAAAACAAAAAAACAAAATGATGATAATAATGTGGCTTATTTATGTATAATTAATGGCACATAAAATTTCAGGTGAAGTAAATGGTAATAATAGACTGTGATTGAATTGAAGTAACTGTTTTGTTTTGCAGTGATTCATAGAAGTTGATGAATGTAACATCATTCTTAATTTGCATTTTTCCCAAATATGAATATCCCACTTTATTTTTTTAAATCTATATATACATATGAGTTATATGCTGGATTTTTTTATCCTCATACAACTATTAATGTATAATTGATATTCCACAGTCAGGATTTGTCAGATTTGGTATATGTATTTAAAAGTTATCTCTTGATAGGATAGTTAGGAGACATTATAGTATGGGAATAAAAACATTTTCTCCACATGAAAGATAGTTTTAAGAGGATGCACTTAACACTTTTTTACACACTTTTCTTAGTATCTGGTACTTAGGTATTAGTATGAATTTATTAAAAATGAATGGTTTCTTTTCAAGAAAATTACAAGTTATATATATTACAGACATTGCTGATTCATATTATTCCAGAATGATTAAGTCAGTTTTTCCCCGACTTTAATAAATGTTCTCTATAGGTTAGAAAACTTCATCATAGACAATATTCTAACTGTAGATTTAAATGCTCAGATAATTATCATGATTATACGTAATAGAGCACTGCTTTAACGTGGAAAATATGTCAAAACATAGTATACTACAGGACTTGAGTTTTATTGAATGGACTAGCTAACAACAAATGGAAATTTGTTTGGAAATGGCTTTTGGTGATGGGTCAAAAACTGAATCTACGAGAATTATTCAATATGCAAAAATACTTAACTTCTTTGTTAAATTAAACGTAAAATTTTGATTTAAAGTACAGTGTACTGTATTAAAAAAACGAAACAAAAATACTTCTAATTACAGCAATACTCGAAAAAAATAACAGAGGTGGATCCAGGATTTTTTTCCGGCAGGTGTTTCTAAATTAACTTTACCAAATGTCAGACTCAAAATTTTTTGACAAACAAAAATAAATAAATAAGTAAATAAAACGTATACAACTCTCCCAAACCTGAAAAAAAAATCACTGTGTGTGTGGAGAATACACATTCTTAAGTCAATTTTCTTCATATACGTAAATCACTCTCCTTACCATTTTAAGAGGGGTCATGTTTCCAAGGTCTTTTTTTTGTTTCTTTTACATAGCTCTGAAAAGTCCAGGGGCAGGGGTCCGGACCCCTCTAGATCCGCCCTTGAAGTGCATGTACCCACATACTTGTTTGAATAGCTCTACAAACAAGTATTAGATGTACTTATATAGTTTTGTCTACCCAGAGTCCGCCTTCTCAGCTCACATTAGCTGGCAGCTCAAGGAACCCTGTCTATATTACCCGGTGTCTATTGTAAATTAAAAAAAAATGTTTTGGATGTACAGCCACTACATCCGGTAAAAATATTCCCCCATGTCGTGCTTTTGTATTGTTACATGTAATATAGGTGGAATTTATCATGGCCACATAGACCTCTGATTGCCTAAGATATTTCCCCCCGTCTTTCAGTTATGCATGCATATCTACCAAACTTAGCACAGGTGTTGTACAAGTGGTATAATAGAAATATTGCTACTTTTAATAGAAATTGCATGAATATATCTGATTTATAAGTTTACCCTCTTGTTCCTCTTTTGATGATATAAAATGACTTATATGTAAAGTTGTTAGTCATCTCATTTATCAGTTTTTCCCATTGTAATTAAAATGATAATATAATTGATTTGTATTTTCCCTAGCCTTCGATCCTAGGACCACTTCCTCTGTGTATTATGGAGAACCCTCCGAAGTCCTCCAAAGCCGAGTCAGATTTGGGTGCACACTGCCAGCCAAACGCAACATCAGAGGTTAGTATATTGTCCGCCGAGGCCGATTTGGGTGCATACTGCCGACCAAACGCAACATCAGAGGTTAGTATATTGTCAACCGAGTGTCATGTTGTAAATTTTGAATTTACCAGGTGGCAGTAAATACAAAATTTACAACATGACAACTGTCATGTTGTAAATTTTGTATTTACTGCCACCCGGTAAATTTAAATTTTACAACATGACACGAGGCAAATTTGGGTGCATACTGCCATTCAAACGCAACATCAGAGGTTAGTATATTGTCAGCCAGTCAGATCTGGGTGAACACTGCCGGCCAAACGCAACGTCAGAGGTTAGACTATTATATTTTCGGCCGAGTCAGAGTTGGGTGCACACTGCCAGGCAATCGCAACATCAGAGGTTAGTATATTGTCAGCCAAGTCAGATTTGGGTGCATACTGTCGGCCAAACGCAACATCAAGGGTGAGTACATTGTCAGCCAAGTCAGATTTGGGTGCAGATTTCCTGTCAAACGCACCATCAGAGGTTAGTATATTGTCAGCCGAGTAAGATTTGGGTACATATTGCCGAGTAAACGCAATATCAGAGGTTGGTATATTGTCAGCCGAGTCAGATTTGGGTGCAGATTGTCGGTTAAACGCAACATTAGGTAAGTATTTTGTCAGCCAAGTCAGATTTGGGTGCACACTGCCGGCCAAACAAACATCTAGAGTTTAGAGCATGAGTCTGGTGGATAATCTCTTTTCATGATTTGTACGTACCTAGTATAGTGCAAACATAATTCACGCATTAACTAAATGAGTGAGCTTTCACTTTTGTTCCATTTTGTAACACTTCTAATCAAGACTTAGTCAACTCTGAAAATAACACTTTGCCACACTTTAACCAGGTTTAAAAAAGTAAATAAACTTTGACTTGGTCTATCGGGAACTTCCATTTTCATGGATATAAAGTGGATAGATAAACACAATTCGTAAATAAATCCATCTAGCTACACTTATCATACAACTATTTAAACATATCTTAAATTCTCATTTATATCGAGTGACAATCAATCAGATATACATTCTTCACTTAAGTGTATAACTCATGCAAAGATTAAATCCATTTTAATATCGGAAAAAAACTAAATTAAAACACATTCATAGCAAATTATGAAGGTCTTAAAGTGGAGGTTTAAAACCTTGCATTGGAGCGTGTGGGTATTGTTTGTTCCACAAAAGGTATAGAACAAAAGGGCCAAGGTGATTAAATAAACGCATTAAACTTTTATACGAAATCGTACCTGCTTAGTTACGTCGGACTGTCGTTTGGGAAGACTATGATACGGTAAGAGATTTCACTTTCAGGCTTAGAAGGTATATTACAATTTATCTTTTATTTGAATTGATGCATTTCTAAAGGACACTTAGACAGGCGTATTAGTAGATAATTCTTCGATTTATAGAGTATACATAACAGTTCGGGAATATTCTAGTCAATGATATTGATCACAGGTAGGAAATACCGATCGATATCGGCTTGCAATTTTTCCTTGTTTGTGCAAAGTGCAAAAATAAATACTATATTTTATTTCACAAAATTCCTTCACCACTGCAGAGCTTTCGCTTGTCTTTTGAAAATTACCAGTCCGAAAATCAAAGATTCACGTTTTTTTCAAAAACGAAGACGGAGTTGTACATGTGTTACTGTAAAATTATTCATGCTAACATGTTGCAAATTATTCTTTCTTAATTAATGTAAAACGTACATTTACAATATTTGAACAACTTCTTCACCCAAAAAAAGATACTGCTGCTATCTCTGATATTGTGCATGAAAGGCCAACGAAGTGTTTGCTTGAGGGGGATACGATCACATCCCCTTAAAAAATCAAAAATATTTTTGAAACATAATAAACTCATCTTCATGTTGAATGTAACCTAGTAACGGCCCTTATATACATCATTTATATGGTATTGTGTAAATTATCATACACTATACAGATCGGGTTTTCTGTGATGACTTTGAAGCAGTTGGTACATACATGTGCGAATTTGTGTCTTGAATTGCACACTATATTCTACGGATCTGAATTTAAGTTACATGAATCTAAAAACTGCATGTATATGTACCTTTGCAAGCTCTATACAAAAGATTAAAATGCATACATGTATCATGTGAAAGGAAACCAAAACACAATTAAATTTCAATACAAAATCTGTACCGGGAGATACATGTATAAAATGTAAAACCACATATAGTTGTGAATCTTAATTAACATTAAAAAATATGTCGCATGTTTATAGGTAAATGGTGTTACGTTTTTATCCATAATTTGTATATAAAAGAATTCCACCGATGAAAGGTGACCATAGTTCCAATGTTATTATCGGAGACTTCAGCAGCAAATTTAGAAATCATATTTTAGTACTTTAATGCAAAAGTCCTAGGCCAGTATGTAACTTGCCGTGCAATTCTTGTATATATTCAATTACCTTCGAATGTTGACCAAACTCTTTTTTTCCCAGGTTACCAGACAATTGACAGTCTTTACCCGCGGAGTAATACGTTTTACGTCGACCCCACTGCTACACAAAACAACGGTCTTGTGGACCTCAAGCATAAAAACGCATTCAACGCCACGTCAAAAGACGATTCTAGTATTTTGAGAATGACCACCAAGAAAGCCCCCGTAACTCTGTCCGTTCAGGAACAGGCTGGAATTAACACCACGTTCCCCGGCCGCACTGAGTATATGCACAAATACCAGACCCCGCCTATGGATATACCCACAAGTGACTTTAATATTAACCCGAAGCCGAATTTCCTCTTGCACGGACGGCCACTAGGGGAGACAACTTACGAAAGCCATAGCACCGAGTACCAAACCCGCTACGAGTTCCCAGACAGCAACAAAATTGTGCGCATGCCCTGGCTACGAAAGTGAAAAGAATAAAACTGCTTTAAATATTTCATTTTGTCTCTAGAATACATGAATGATCTGAGTTGTTAAGCTTATTTTAAAAGGAACTTAAGAATATTATTCAAATTTACATTTATAGCATAATGTAGATCGTAGAGAAGTCCAATGGGACAGGATATTTGTTAACTTTTTTGAATTTTATTCTTTTCTTCTACCAAAATGTCTTTTTGTTTCTTATCATTTACCAAGTTGGTTTTCTATAACATATAATCCATCATATCCGTTTTATAGGGACATTTCTCAAAACTAACAAAAATAAATATGTTAAGTTTGTATGCCTTCATTTTTTCAAAGCAATTATTTAAGATAGACTATTGGTATCCAAACATTCTCTTCATAGATATGCAGAAGGCACATTAATTCTACAGGAAAGGGTGTTATTTTATGGGGTTAAAATGTTATTACAGAAACAGGTGCCTGTGCGAAAATGACTAAATAAGTTTAATTTTTTATTTATTAGAATTTTGTTTAAATCGAAGTGTTTGGTCAATTGTCTATATTTGTTTCATCGTTTTTGGACCACGTCACATCTTCCAAAGGCGATATTAGCACATCCTTTAGAGGCGATATTATCTATCATTGCAACAAAGGAGGTGCTTGAATGTAGTAATGTCAATGAAACCATCTGGCAGCAAAAATATGATTCCTTAAAGGTTCCAGTGAGATGTATACAATGTCCAGAGCGATCACAGATCAAAGCAATTGCTTGCAACAACTCCTTTGAGTTTGTCTGTCTGTCTGATACTGGTTTGCTGAGGTGCTAGATATACAGTCACACAGACAATGCGACCTCTAATTGATTGATTCCATTTAATATGCCTCTTACCTGGTTAGCGATCGCTGAGTGCTGTGCAATCAGATTTTTCCGTATTTGGATTTAGGTTTTGTTCACCAAATAATATAATCAGTTATAACATTTATAGCTTACATGTTAGAGATCGGATTGGAGAGTTAGTTATAAATCGATCCCCGGAAAAAAAGTACTGTCATGTATATTAGTGCTCAGCGTTAAAATGTTAATTTGCAAGTTGCACATATCTTAACAAAAGAAGTGACCCCCCCCCCCAAAAAAAACGAAAATTTTGCCTTGAATGAAACCAACGTGGCAAAAGGCGTTACTTCCTGTTCTACCCCACGAAAAATGTGTATCACATTCATGAAAAAAACTTTGAACTTTGTTACATATTGACAGCTAACCATCACCGATAAAACGCTCTTCACAGATAGGTATATACATGTACATGTAATCATTTTCACATGCTCAAAATACTTGTTGTGAGCAGAAAGTTTGAAATCTTGGATCCGAAATGGATGAAGCCTTTCAAAAAACTGACATGTACTTTGGTCGCCACGACTTTTCAACACTTTATATAACCATTCCCTGCGATAAATTAAAGTTCAGGTTTTTTGACATCATAGACAGCTGCCTTTTCAATAAAAATTGAACTCGTAAATTTACTTACCTTATCATTGGTTATCTGCAAAATTATTTTGTGAAGAACATTCGGATTGTACATACAAGTACTCTGAAGTTGATATTTAAAAGATGTCTGAGTTTCTCATTGACAATATCTTTGTAGTTTTGGAGACCAGGTCTTCCAGAAATCTGTTGGAATTCCCGGCAATGGGCACAATTGTGCCCTGTTATTAGTGAGACAGAAGTGAAAAAAGAATTAGATAGATTACACGTACGATCGGTACGTACTGGTCCCTGCTGACAAAGCAGGCAACAACATTGTCTTTGTAAGGCTCATTATATTAAATGTATTTTAGAGGAACTTGGATTTAATTCTACAAGTGGTAATCCAACTTATACCAATAGTTCCCTTTCTAAGGAGGAAATTCTTCAGAATCATATGTCAGTTTTGAATATTTTTAATATTCCCAACAACCAAAATGAATCTGAATTACCATATCTATATTGGATTCCGAAACTTCATAAAAATCCTTACAAAAGAAGATACATAGCGGGTTCCAGTAAATGTTCTACCAAGCCTCTTTCTTTACTCCTCACTAAGATATTAACAGTAGTGAAGGAGAAACTTCAAGAATACTGTGCAACAATATATTCGAGAAGTGGTGTAAATCAGATGTGGATACTAAAAAATTCCAAAGAACTTTTGGAACATTTGAAATTACAAAATTTTATTAAAATCAACAACATAAAAACTTACATCTTTTCAGCTTTATATTATATACAACTATTCCCCACGATAAATTAAAGTCCAGACTTTCTGACATCTAGTGGAATTCCCATGGTACCAATTGCGCCCCGTTATTAGCAGACCTATTTTTGTATTCATATGAAGCAGAATTCGTTCAAAATCTTTTACGTGAAAAGAAAAAAACACTTGCTGTGGCCTTCAACTCGACATTTACATATATCGACGACGTATTGTCAATTAACAATGGTTATTTCCATTCTTATGTCGACACGATATATCCCAGTGAGCTTGAGATAAAAGATACCACAGAGTCTGACACATCTGTTTCATATTTGGATATTTTATTAGAAAAAGAAGTTAATGATAATCTAACAACAAAGCTTTATGATAAACGTGATGACTTAACTTTTCAATCGTCAGCTTCCCTTACGTATGCAGCAATATACCCTTATTACCTGCATACGGGGTTTATATCTCTCAGTTGATTCAATACGCCAGAGCATGCTCTACGTATGAACAATTTCTAAAACGAGGTAAGTTATTGACAAACAAGTTGATGAAACAAGAATATCAGCAGTCTCGTTTAAAGTCATCATTTCGTAAGTTCTGTGGTCGATACCATGACCTTGTCAGCAAATACAGTCTTTCATTAAGTCAAATGCTGACTGACTTTTATCATACTAATTGTTATAGGCCATTATTTACACACTGAATTGCCGACGGATTTTCCGTTATTTCTTGATCATGACAAGGAGCACAAGGCGGGTGTGACCTGTCGGCAGGGGATGCTCACTCCTCCATGGCACCTGATCCCACCTCTGATGTCTTAGAGATCCGTGTTTGCTCTGCTCCTATTTGTAATGTTTAATGGACATAAGAGCTCTAATACTGTTCGTTATATCCACATATTTCACTACTAGTATTTTTTGTATTATTATGAAGCAGAATTTATTTAAAAACTTCTAAATAAAAAGAAGTCTCTTGATATGGCCTTCAATTTGACATTTAGATATATCGACAACGTTTTTAATAAATAATGCTCATTTTCATTCCTACGTAGATTCGATTTATCCCATTGAACCACAGGCATTGTTTCTGTAATAAATTTTTTTAATCCATAGTATTATAAAATCACAAGGTATCCATTCCGACCATAATAGGTATACTAGTATTACACATTTGACAGCATCTAGCCTTTGAATTTTTATCGTTGTTATAAAATTTCCCCTCAATTAACAACTTTATAGTTGGAAAAGCCAAGATTATAAAGTTGGAATTACCAACTTTAAAGTTGGAAAAGCCAAGATTATAAAGTTGGAATTTACCAACTTTAAAGTTGGAAAAGCCAAGATTAAACTTGGAACTACCAACTGTAAAGTTGGAATTACCAACTTTAAAGTTTGAATTACCAACTTTAAAATTGGAATTTCCAACTTAAAAAAAATACTACGTTGCCCTAATACGCTTCCGTACAAAACATTCGAGATTATCTTGAACAAATTAATATACAATTGAACTTCCTTATCTCGGACATTGATATTTCGAAACTACGGATTTTTATGTTGAAGTGAGCCCTAACTTCTTTTTCTTTATGTTTTTTAACCCTTGTTACATATGTATCTCAAAACCTTTGAAATTTCGAGGTTTAATCTTGATCCCGTGAAGTTCAAGATAATGAGGTTTGTCTGCAATTCTGATTTAAATTGGTTATTTTACCCTTCATTCAATTTTGGTGCAAACTATCCTTTTGTACATGTTGTTGCATGCACAATATCCCCCGATCAATCAATGATTTAAAAAAAAAATCTTTTTTTGATTCAGATATGGAATTCCATATACGACAGGCAACTGCTTACTGCCAACTGCTCACTGCGCATACTGCCAACTGCCCACTGCTTACTGCCAACTGCCACACATATTTGAATAAATTTTCATATTCATATTGATATTTATGTGAATTTTCATAAAACCAGGCGCGGATCCAGGATTTTTTTCCAGGAGGAAAAATCCAACCCAGAAATTTCTTTACAGAAAAAAAGTAAACTCCTTTCCAAAAAAACCTATTTCGTGGTGGAGGTTGGGGTGGCTTCTTATGCTTCATATCTTCATATCTATGACTTTTCATACCAACTTATATTACCACGGATCCGCGTTTTCTAGGAGTGGGGGTGGGGGGGGGGATGGGGGTCCAAGGTCACTTTTAGTTGGTTTAGTATATGCATTAAATAACTCTACATATTCCAGAAGGGGGGTGGACCCCCCCCCCCCCCCCCCCCCGATGCGCGAATGTAAAACATAACTTAGAAATTAACGGAAAATGGAAATTGATTTTCAAAACATCTTTCCCCGCGAAACAATAAATCCTTTTTTCAGTTTTTAACTTATGAATTGAAAACGTTATTTCACAAATTCATCCCAAAGGTTTTGTTGTCTCATGGGGAGGGAGGGGGTGTTTAAAGATTAAAAACAGGAAAATAGTCATTTTATTACCAATTTCAAATGAGATAACAAATAAAAAAGTGTTCTTTATCACTTTATCAATCTCATATGTTGAATTTTACATAAGTTAAACATACGGGGAGATTTAAGAGTCATTTGTTCATTTCCATGAGTATTTGAAAATATGGTGATGTTTTCAGTATGATTTCAATTGATAACATTTTCTACCCCCTTATGAAAAGAGTTGTGAATAAGAGCAATTAACTTTTTGTCACTGGTTTTTGAAATTAGTACTCAGTACTAATGAAATTTTCTTTGCATTCAAACAAGTTTTAATGTCCAAACTGCCATTTATATTGATTTAAATGGATGGAAAATGTAGACTGGAATCGAGAGTTAGCGTGCATATAGTTCTTACAATAATAACAAAATTTGGCGGATTTAGGAATTTTCAAACTGTAAAGGCGAGGAAGGAGTAAATCGGAAGAAGGAGTATTTCCTGTTAAAAACAAAACATTTAATTTCTTCATTTCCTTGCAGGTAAATAATTTGGTAGCTTTTTTTTGACGCGGGAAAAGGGAAGGGTGCATGGGTTCACACACGACGAAAGTACATACTTTTAGAAGGGTCTTGAGTAATATTTGTTGGTATATGTATTTATACTAGAAA